CCTAATGTTTCTTCTGCTATAAAAGCATTTGAATTACCTGTAAGCAATATTTTTTCTGAATGTACAGCAATCTGTGCATACAAAGTTCAGTGTACATTATTAGCATGCTTTTGATGCCAGTATACAGTAACTCATGTGCATTTGTACAGGAGTAACACCATCAAATGCCAGTCAAGATAACTGGAATCACAGAATCCAGAAAAAGACAGGGTGATGCAGAGGTGAAAGAGATTGTGTCTATTGCATTACTAGAGGTGGTGGTTTGGCAGGACGGTCTCCCATAATGAACAAATATACCACACATAGCATGCCATGGTGAGTGGTGGGTGTAGCCAATCTATGCTAACAGTGGGCTAGACTTAGAAGCGTTATTCTTAAATAAAACCTGAGATGACTCTGTCCTGGGGCAAAAGAAAACAATGCACAATGTTCAGAGAATCAAAAGTAAGTAACACACAGTGTGTGGGGTAAGGAGCATGCTACATGCAGAGTGCAGGAGTAAGGAGTATTTAATGTACAAAGTGCAGGGACCAGGACTGCATAAGGCACAGATCACAGGGGTCAGCAGTGTATCAAGCACAGAATGCAGAGGTAAAGTATAAGTAATACAAAGGGGTCATGAATAAGTAATACATAAAGTGCAGAGGTCAGCAGCAAGTAATGCAGAGTGTTCAGGGGTCAGAGGTCAGGAGAGTGTAGTATACAGAGTGAAGAAATCAGGAGTAAATGACATACATACAATTCAATGAGAGTGTCAAACAAGCATCCAGGAGTCCAAGGTAATTTAATGATAAAATTAATTCAGGAGGGCAGGTTAAGTTAGTGAATGCAGCAAAAAAATGGAGTAAAAGGAGTAAGTAACAAACAGGGGTCAAAACTGTGTGATACAGAGAGTACAGGGATCAGGAGTGCAAAATGCTCAGAACTGAAGCCAACAGGATAGCAGTTACACATCAAATGATGAATTCTGAAGACAGACACTTTGCAGAGTTGTATGGATAAACTTAAATGTTCTGTAGTGGAATAGGCTTCCATAGCAACAGCTTACAACTGACATCTGTGGCTATGGTGAAGCCAGTGCTCTAGCACTCATATGCCGGATTTTAGGGATTCATCACAATAATGATATGTCACTGTTTTCTGAGTGCTACTGATGTAGGAAACCAGATGGCTGCATCCAGCAGTCATCAGGCAACATTTATCTAAAATAAAGACTGTGAATGCACTTGCCAGAGTACGTTTGTACTCTTTACTTATTCATAGACCCCCACATCCACCAGGCCAGGGATGTGGGGATGAGGGTCCTTGTCCCCATTAATATAGGACAAGGTGTCTTGTCAGGGAGTTACCCTGGCACAGTGCTCTCCTTATGTTGAGGGCATGTGGCCTAGTATGATTCAAGAGAGGAACCACACATTTGCTGCCCTTCCTTTTCCTGATCAAACAGACTTGTATACCAGACCATTAAGACATACAACCTGACCAGACAGGCAAGGGAAAGGCAGTGAGTGCCCCCCTGAACCATACTAGGCCACATGCCTTAACCATAGGAGGGTACTTTAATGCGGGGGAAGGTCCTGTTATGTTGACAGAGACAAGTGCCTCATCCTACATCCCTGGTCCAGTGAATCTGGGGGTCTACAAGGAAGGACTTATCAAAATCTAGAAGCTCCCTTTAAAGGTAAGGGATCTCAGATATCCTCCCCAAATCTAAATGAATAAAGGCTACAGGGGCGGACTGACCATTTGGAAACTCGGGCACTGCCTGAGGGCCCGGGATCAGTAAGGGGCCCCATGAGATGGTACCCCTACTGACCTGAGCCTTTTTCATAGGCTTTTTTGAGTTTGGGCAAGGACACAGGGGCCCCATGATCCCCTATTGCCCGGGGGCCCCATGAGTTGTCAGTCCGCCCCTGAAGGGCTACACAGTATTCCTTGTTATTCACCCAAAAATTACAAAGTAAATTAGCACACATACACCCCTAGGAAAAGCATTTTATTTAGAAAAAACTCCAGCAATGTAAAGTCAATAATACTGTCCTGCAATGTATATCCATCATCAATCATGATGAGCAACACTTGCTGACCTGCTGACACCAATATAACTCACGCTGACTACCCTCTCCTGCCATTTCTCTTTGCAAATGAGAGCTCCGCAGCTGACAGCAAGATATCAACAAACCAACTAGCTGTTATCAATGACCAGATATAGTAATGACATTGCCTGTGATTTTCAAGCAGAAGCAGGCCATGGCATGGCATTGTCATTTCACGGCAATAGTTTGTTTGTTTAAATGGTACATCCTACAGGTGCACCACCATGTGCAGGTTTAAGGTATTCCCCAAACATGTTGTCTAAAGGAACTGTGTCTTTTTAATATTGCCCATTGCACTTAATTTTTTCTAAAAATTTTATTTAAATTAAAAAAAATTTAAAAGTTAATTTTTAATTTGCAAAATTAATATTTATTTAGTTTAGTGAATTCGGTGAAGCCATGCTGACTTCAACCAATCATGTGCAAAAAAAAAAGTTTTATATTCCCTTGTATGTGATTGAGTCACCTCACTCATTAAGCAAAGTATTAATTTCACTTTTCTAAGTGAAAATGCTCTACTCCTTCAATAAATCAGTCCCTCTTGTTTAGAAATCATTCTTTACAAAACTGTAGCACCTAGTAGATGCATTCAGGTTGGCAGCCAGGGTGTCAAAACTGTTGGTTAGTAAAAAAGACAGACCAGTCTTCTGAATACTGGTCCATTTCCTAAAATGTCCATACGAGTTGTGCTGCTTGGGTCTTTTTACATACTCAGTTTTGTTTGCATCTTCAATAAATGGATGATCATGAGTGTTACGTAAGCTTTTATAATTAAATCAGCAGAAATGTAAATAAACCTAATAAACTGATGTAATGCCACCCCCAAAATGAGCCGCTTGATAACTTTAGTTTCTCTGTTCTGCACCTCAACTCCAAGAACAACCCTGGCTCCTCTGACACATCTGGTCGACTAAAAATCACTGCATCTATGGATAAATACACAAGTGTAAAATACTTTTAACCTGGCTGTGGGTTATTACCATTATATAGACACACACTTGTTTAGTGGTACTTGCTCTTAATTGATACAGGTTAGAACAGCAATGGGCAAACTACGGCCCGCGGGCCGTATACGGCCCGGCGGACCTTTTAATCTGGCCCGCGGAGCTAGGCTCCCGCTAGGCTCCTCTCACAGTCCGCCCTGAAGACCGGTGTAGCATGAAAATCTGTCTCCTATGAGGATCTGTCCCCCTCGACGTATCTGCGCATGTGCCGAAGATCGCCGATCGGCTGCTAATGCCTGAAACTGGCACATGCGCAGATACGTCGAGGGGGACAGATCCTCATAGGAGACAGATTTTCATGCTACACCGGAACGGCGTGGGAACACGGCGAGAGGAACGCGTGGAGCAAAGGTAAGTGAATTGACACAGGGGGGACTAGGGGACTTAATATGGGGGGTGAATTAATATGGGGAATGAATTACTATAGGGGGGATGAATTACTATATGGGGGATGAATTACTATATGGGGGATGAATTACTATGGGGGATGAATTACTATATGGGGGATGAATTACTATATGGGGGATGAATTACTATAGGGGGGATGAATTACTATAGGGGGGATGAATTACTATGGGGGATGAATTACTATATGGGGGATGAAATCACTATGGGGGATGAATTACTAATGGGGGATGAATACTATGGGGGATGAATTACTATATGGAGGATGAATTACTATAGGGGGGATTAATTACTATGGGGGATGAATTACTATGGGGGATGAATTACTATGGGGGATGAATTACTATATGGGGGATTAATTAATATGCTTACTATGGGGGATGAATTTACTATATGGGGGATGAATTACTATATGGGGGATGAATTACTATGGGGATGGATGAATTACTATATGGGGGATGAATTACTATATGGGGGATGAATTACTATATGGGGATGAATTATGGGGGATGAATTACTATATGGGGGATGAATTACTATGGGGGATGAATTATGAATTATGGGGGATGAATTACTATGGGGGATGAATTACTATATGGGGGATGAATTACTATGGGGGATGAATTACTATGGGGGATGAATTACTATGGGGGAAAAATTACTATATGGGGGATGAATTACTATGGGGGATGAATTACTATGGGGGATGAATTACTATGGGGGATGAATTACTATATGGGGGATGAATTACTATGGGGGATGAATTACTACTATATGGGGGATTAATTACTATGCTTACTATGGGGGAATATTACTATACTTACTATGGATGACACATACACATCATTCATCTACTCTTGGTCCGGCCCCCGGGTCCAATATATGAACCCATTGCGGCCCTCAAGTCAAAAAGTTTGCCCACCCCTGGGTTAGAATAAATGGCAAAGGATTTCCTGTATCAGAAGGATCAAGGAGAGATCCATAAGGCTCTATGGCCCCTAGGGGTCGATGAGTGGAGGTGAGAGGCCACTTTAGCCATTGTGTGGAGAGCACCTATTGGTGGGTCACGACCGTTTATGCATGATCTGGAAGATTGGAGCACTGCAGCTGTGTCCACACATCCACCTTATGATTGGACTTGGTTTTATATTTGTGTTTTAGGTGCACATGATTAGCACTTGTCCCTCAACAGGGATCCACGTTATTTTAGGCTGCAACCCCAATTGTGGGGACTAAGAGTCACGTTACTTTGATCCCCCTATGGGATTGGGTTCACTTTTAGTCACCTACCAGGTCTGCTGTGACCTGAATTGTGAGCACATAGTGTCACTATTATTGATGCATTTTATTTATTACATGTATTGCATTTGGTACTGAGCGCTACACCACTTTCTTCTTTAATATCAATTTACCTACAGGTTTAGGATTAGTGTTCAGCTGCTAGTAGTAGTATTATACGTTGTTTAACATTTCAGCGTGGGGAGACCCTCCAGTTACTGATGCGCACAGATAGGTGGCAATGATTGGCAGCACTGATAGGTGGCACTGACTGGCACTGATAGGGGGCACTGAAAGGCAGCTCAGATGGGCACTGATATGTGGCATTGATGTGCACTGGTAGGCACTGATATGTGGCATTGATGTGGCACTGATGGGCACTGGCAGGTGGCACTGATGGGCACTGACAGCTGGGCACTAACAGCTGGCACTGATGGGCTACACTGATCATCAGGGCATACTGATAATCAGTGCCCTGATGATCAGTGTACGTGTCACCTCCGAGGAATGCCGATTACCGGCTCTGCTCTCGAGCTGTTACCGTGACGGCTCGTGAGGAGAGAAATACCGATAACCAGTATTTCCCTATTTACATGCAATCAGCTGTGATTGGACATAGCTGATCACATGACCGAGCTGAGATCTTTGGCTCTTTTCATTGATCGGTGATCCGCTGTGTCCAAAGGACACAGCGCACCACCGATCGCCGCACTGCGCGCTCCCAGAGCCACGCATGTGCGGTTAGAGTGGGAGGACGTCATATGACGTCCTCCCAGGAAGAGAGATCCGCCTTGCGCCCGTCATTACCTTATATGGTGGGTGGGAGGCAGTTAACAAAAACAAAAAAATACAAGGCATCAGGGCAGCAACTGTTAGTCTTAACTCTTCATTCGGATAAATGTAGGGCCCATTGGCATGCATTAGGAACATTAGAACTGCAGGCAGTATTAAATCTATGAAGTAACTTGAAGGTAGTTCCTAATGGCTCAGTCACTAATGATGGTAACAAATAGTGGTCACAAGGTCCTCTCACTAAACCCTGCAATACAGCAACAGTGGTTTCTCTGAATGGGTATCTGCTTACTCTGAGATGCCCGTTGGCGCAAGAGAATTTGTAGTGGACATAACGTTCACTCAGCAAACCTTAAACAAAATAATCCAGTAAACAGAAATTAAGATAATCATACATGCCAGTAATAAAGGGGCAACAAGTAGATGATGCAGCTTTAGTGGTGAGGAAAGGGAAGGGGGGAGGGGAGGGGGGTAGGGAAAGGAGGGGAAAAAAGGCCTTGTGATGCAAACAGTACTGGATTGAGATAGATGGTATATATATGTGTATACATATATATATACAACGCTGCAATGTGGACACCGTCGTGAGGCTTGCACTTTCTAGAGTAAACCGACTCTGTGGTAAATGGAGAAGAAAGAGAAGTGCGCCAGACTAAGTGCAGTATGAATATAAAAGTTTATTGCACACAAGATTATAAAAACTCACAAGAAGTGGGTAGATATCAGGCATCAATATATAAGGAGGAGGATGTCATCTGTGCTGCACCTCACAAATGGATGGCTGTAATGCCAAGGTGTTGCGTGGCTGGCGCTCTAGGCGGGTCCCACAGGAGGAGCGAGGATGGCAGGCGCAGTAACCGGGAGTCGCGGCGCAGATAAGAACCGGGATCCAGGGCAGGCACTGCTGATCTCTCACATCAGCGTGGGTACAGTAGCCAGCTTGAGGCACATCCAAGATGGCCACCGGGCAGGAAATGACATCAGAACGTTGCTGGGAATCCTCCAAGGGGGCGGTGACGCGTTTCTAGGCAACCTGCCTTTTCATCAGACCTGATTGGCTAGTGGGATGAGCCAATAAATAAGGAGAGGAGGAAGGGGTGGGGCAACTGAGGGGGGGGTAGTGAAATTAAAAAAAAATGTATAATGCATACAGGCTTAACAAGCAGTGGTGGAAAAACATAAGAAATAAACGGTGAGCAGCTGCTTTCTGTAGAACATGTGAAAGATAGGAAGAATAGAAGGAAAGGAAAGAAATGGGGAAAAAAAAAAAAAAAAAAAAAAAAAACGCATGTGGAAGATAAAAGATTACACAGGAAATATTTAATTATAAACGTTATTACTATGATGTGGATTGTAAAGGGTAAGATGGGCAGGTAAGAAGGTGGAATATGAAGGGGGGGGGGAGACAATCAGGGAAAAAAAAAAAAAAAAAAAAAAAAAAAACGCATGTAGAAAAAAAAAAAAAAAAAAATTAAACAGGGAAGTGGTGGGAATTTAATTATAAACGTTATTACGATAGAAAAATAATAAAATGGAATAAAAAAATAGGGAAAAAAAAAAAAAAAGTGGTGGGAATTGAAGTATATACTATAAAAAATAAATAATAAAAAAAAATATGAAAATAAAAAAAAAAAAAAAAAATTAAATAATCGTGTGTATCTCAATCTCTTCATTGAGGCCCCTAGGTGCAAGGGTATCTAAAGTAAAAATCCAATAGGTCTCCTGTTGGCATAATAATTTGAAACGTTCAACTGGGGGGAGATGGTCTGGTATAGCCTCAATGACCCATACTTGTAGATGGAGAGAGGATTTAGAATGAAACTCTGAAAAATGGCGGGGAACACTGTATTTAGTAATGCCATCATCAACTGACCTCCGGTGCTCTCCAAATCTTTTTCGCAGTGTTCTAATGGTACGTCCCACATATAAAAGGCCGCACGGGCAGGACAAACAATAAATTACATATGTGGAAGAGCAATTATAAAAGGCTTGGAGGGGATAGACTTTTCCATTAATTGTAAAATTTTGTTGGCCATGCTTCACATGGGCACACGTGAGGCAGAGCGGTTTGTTGCAGCGGAACATCCCATAAGTGGGATTAGTACCGGTCTATTGTGAATAGGAGGGGATTTCAGGGGGGGAATTTTACTAGGTGCAATTTTATTCTTAATGTTAATTGCTCTTCTATATACAAAATGTGGGGGTAGGAGGCATAATCATTTTAAGGTGTGGATCTTGATGTAAGATAGGCCAGTGTTTCTTCAGGATGGATTCCATTTTGTGATGTTTAGAATGGAACTGTGTAATGAAACGGATATTGTTGTTGTTCGATGATTGCGGCTTAGGTGGGGGGATCGTGTCTGATAAGTAGGTGAGATATGCTTGTTCCACTAACTCAGAGGGATATCCTTTTTCTGTAAATTTTTGTTTTAATTCAATGCTTTGGGCTTTGTAGTCCTTAAGTAAGGTACAGTTGCGTCGAAGTCTGCAAAACTGCCCTTTGGGTATATTTTTGAGCCATCTAGGATGATGACAGCTAGTATAATGAAGAAAGGAATTACCAGCGGTTGGTTTGGTGTAATTTTTAGCTATAATATTAGAGTCCGAGTGGCTAAGTTCCAGGTCAAGAAAACTTAGTGAGGTAGGGTCCATAACGTGGGTAAAAGAAAGGTTGAATGGGTTATTGTTACAGTGTTGAATAAAAGATGCAAGAGAAGTGACAGGGCCGTCCCAGATGATGATAATGTCGTCTATATAACGACCATAGAACACCAAATGGGCAGCAAAGATGTTATTACTCCAGACATAGCGATCTTCCCAGAGGCCCATGGTGAGATTGGCATAGCTAGGTGCAAAATTAGCGCCCATGGCTGTGCCTGTTTTTTGTAAATAGAAACTATCATTAAACAAAAAATAGTTGTGCTGGAGGCAGAATTTTGTAGCAGTGAGGATGAAATTAATCTGGCTAGGGTGGAGGGAAGCATCCAAAGAAGACAGGAAGTGTAGAACAGCTTCTAGTCCTACATCGTGAGGGATAGAGGTGTATAGGGAACTAACGTCAAGGGAGACCCAGATGTAAGAAGGTTCCCAGGAGTACGCCTCAAGAATTTCCAATAGATGTACACCATCCCGAATATAGGAGGGAAGTGATTGGGCTAGAGGTTGGAGAAAGCTATCAATATAGAGCGAATAGCTGGTGGTAATGCTCTCCATAGCTGCAACTATAGGGCGGCCAGGCGGATGATCAAGGTCTTTATGGATTTTTGGGAGATGATAAAAATATGGAGTTTTGAATATGTCTCTGTGGAAAAAAAGAGGCCTCTGATTTAGAGAGGATTCCTTCCTGGGTGGCAATTTTGATGATATCATTCGATTCTAGGATGTATTTAGGAAGAGGGTCCGAGGCTAATTTAAGGTAGGTGTTGGAATCAGACAACAGACGATTGGCTTCATTAAAATAATCGACCTTATCTTGGATGACTATCCCTCCCCCCTTGTCAGCTGTCTTAATGATAATATCAGAGTTATTGCTAAGGGTTTTGAGGGCTAAGAATTCAGAGTGGTTGAGGTTAGATGTAAATTTAGTGTTTTCGAACGAGGATTTTGAGATCAGAGTGTACCATTTGAAAAAAAGTCTCTATGTAGGGACCCTTATTATAAGTTGGGTTGAATGTGGATGGAGGTTTTAGATTTGTATGTCTAATACGGGGAGAATCTGGAGGATATTGAGACAGAAGAAAGGTGTCATCTGGGTCTCCGTCATCCCAGAGTTCCATTAGTAAGTCTAGGGCCTGAGGGTCAATTGAAGGATCTGTTTCCACAATGGTGGTGTTAGGGGATAGAGATGATGTTTTGGCGTTCTTAAGGGCCTGTAGCTGAAAATGTCTTTTGAGAGTAAGATTGCGGGTGAATTTATTGAGGTCTTTGAATAGGGTAAAAGGATTAGGTGTAGTAGTCGGTGCAAAATTGAGGCCTCTTTTTAGTAGTGACAGTTCACTATCTGTTAATGTGATGGATGAAAGGTTATAAACTTTTATAGTTTCCTGATTTTGACAGGTTTTTTTGGGTTTATGTCGACCCCCTCTCCTGCCTCTTCCGTCGTGTTTTCTTTTTAATAGGCTGGAGCGGGGGGTCTGATCTAAAAAAGGGACCTCAATGTTGCTGGGCTGTTCAGGGGAATAATTGGTGGTAGCATTGACTGTAGATATATGACTAATATGGTTGGTGGTATGGGTAGTGCGGTGTGTGGTGTGTTGGGGTATAGGATGGGGAATGTGGGGGGTATGAAGTGATGAGTGGGGCCGAACAGATAAATGATGTTTAGTAGGTACTGTGATGGAATGGCTGTACCTAGAGAGTGATGATTTTGGATGGACTGGCCTACTATGCCATCTGGAGGAGGAGGTAGGTTTATTACTAATAATGCCAGGGGAACGAAATGGTGGATGGTTACGAGTAGTGGTATTTTTTAAAAGGGATGGTATATGTTTGGGAGGTAAAGATATATGTAGTAAACTGGGGATGGGGGGAAGGGAAGAAAGAGGAGAAATAGGAATGACAGTTTTGGGTTTCTTCCAATTGAAGACTCTATTAAGGTTATAATCATCCAGGTCTCTCCTAAGTTTACCTAATTTGGTACCTAGGAGCGAGTCCTCCCTATATTTAGTATTGCGTTTAAGTGTTTTAAGCCAGATTAGTGGAAGTGTGGGTGTAAGAGACTGAAGTTGATAAATAAGTTGTAAGGTAGTATTTTTGAGTATCTGGAACCTATCGTCTCTATACATGATTAAAAGTTTGATCCATTTTTGTGTACAAAATTCTGCAATTTGGGCCCATTCAGAGCAAAGATCAGGATCCTTAAAGGAACAGGTATTAA